CCCTAACTATTCTATGATTCTATGGTTCTATGATCTCCAATGCTGAGTCACCCAGGACCCTGTCTTTAGGGTAGCCCCTATGTGTCACAGGGGTAAAACTTGCTTTCAAATGAATTTTAATAGAAGTATTTGATATTGGCTCCTGTGTAAAGGACCACAAGTCCCTTGGTAACTGCCTGTCCTCCGTGCATAAACATAAGCAAGCTGCCAACACACTCCTCAAATGCAGGCTGCAGCACCAGGGGTCCTGCTGAGGTTTGCATGCTTGGAGCGAAGTTATAGAGGTGCCACCATCAACTGTGACCATGTTGTCTTTAAAGCACAGGGGTGCTTAGGGAAGTGATCATATGCAAAAATAGTGATTAAAAAAACCCTAAACAAATCTTTCATGCTGTCTTATTGGTCAGCCAAACAGCTTCTCCAGGCACCCATCTATTTTGTCTAGTAATAAAGATAAGCTTCTACTCTCACAATCTTAGCTCAAGAAGTGTATCCCCAAGTGGGTTCACAGATGTGCTGTGGGAGTAAATGGAATCATGAAAAAGCTCATAAAATTGAAGGAACTTCACTTGGAATTAAAAGAGCTGAAGGAAAGGGGAGGGGAGAAAAATACAGCTGGTAGATGAGACATTGTGATCTGATACATTTGAGGCACAAAGGACATTAAATGGAACTCTGAAACTCAAATTTAATGAAACCGAGAGACAGCAAACCTATGCGCAATTAGCCTACAAGATTCACTGCCACAAACTATAATGGAGGCCAAGAGCTTGTCACCAAAAATGTGGGAATATTCATATATATATACACACACAGATAGACAATCACCTACACACATGCACGTTTATTTATGTATATACTTATGGTCTCTCAGGGCTGGAAAGGACTTTGCACCACCAAAAGACCATTCAGTCTTTTCCCCAGCTGGAAGACAAGATCAAATAGATGGCAGTATTTTCTGACAGATGTTTGTCTAGACCTGTTTTTAACAGAGAATCTCCTACCTCCCCAGGCAATTTATTCCAACGCTTCCTTTTCTTCTTCAGCTTTATACACACATGCACGCGTATATTTATCTCAGAAGGTGAGCAGAGCAGTCTCTGATGACTTGCACATCAAAAGGCTTGTTAACTCATTTCTCACGGCAAGATCTTTATTGTGAATGATATACAAGGCCTGAAGATCCCAACCTGACCCGAGATGACAGGCTGAGCTTGGGGGACCAGCAGATGGGGTAAGGGGGAAAATGGGAAAGGAGGGAGAAATTCAGCCTTTTCCTTATTAACACATCAGGTTTGGTCTGCTGATGAAAGAGATGTACTCCATTTTTAGACTCAAACATTAAGTTCCTCTCATTTTGGTAAAATAAATACACTTTTGGCTTCCTCAGCAGCCACCTCAGAAGAGATGTCCTGTCAAACTAAAGTAAGGCAAAAGAGGGGATGAGGAATGAGGCTTCACAGCTGGAATATGTAAATGACAGGATGGAGAGTAATACTTTTCAGCCACCCTGGGTATCTATTACCTCCACTTTCTGACTGACAATGCACCAAATGTTTCATTGCCTGGGGCTTTACAAAGCCGATCAGCTTTTTTTAGCTGAAAGCACTAATGTAGAAAGGCAATTGGGAATTAATTATTTAATGTGGTTCTCATTGGTAGAAAGCTTCCACCCCTCCTGCATCTCAGCTACCATTATACATATGTTGCTTTCTTCAGACTACAGTGATCAGACAGCAGCAGAAAATTATGGCTAAATCCCACTCCCACTTGCAATGAACTCCATTTAAATCGACAGATTTGCACTCAATAACTAAGACTGCAGCTTAGCCCCATGCTAGAAAAAAAAACATCGTTTGTGTCAAAAGCCATAGGCAGATCTCAGCATCTCCATTTCTGAAAATAAGCCGTCTCATACCTCTGCTCCTAAGCCCTCTCTTTCAAGCAGCCAAAGACTATTCCTATTTAAAAATTAACATCCACACAAGGAGCCCTGTTAGTAGGAAATCAGAACGAGCTCCCTTTAATGTGGTTGTTCAGATACCCTACTGGAGCAGGCGGAAAGGTGTATCCTGGATCTGCACCGTGTTTTGGTTCAGCTCCAGCTTCTCCGGATTCTCAAGATAAGCATCTATTTCATTTAGAGCCTTTTTAGTTATGACCTACGTAGAAGCAAATGTCCTTTTGAAGATCCTTCTGCAACAGCTGCATGCCAGAAACCCCCGTCCAAGTTGCTTTAAGAGCTTAAGTATCAGGCCCTGTGTATTTAAAACATAAAGCTTGCAAAATAGGGTTCTGCAGCAGGGCTGAGAGGGGGCACAACTTACACTGTCAGCTGTCATAAGTGGGAAAATGCTGAGTTCTTCTCCACAGTCACCACCTCTGGAACCATTCCCAATGAAGCCCCAGCAGGATCCTACTGAAATTCAGCGTAGTGAATTGCACCAGGAACTAATTTAACGTAACGTGTTGTGCATTTCCAAACACAAAATATACTGGGTTTGTTCTTTTTTTGACTGTTCAGAAGAAAGAAATACAACTGTACAAATGTGCTTTTCTAAGATCCAGTGGCATGAAACCTGAAATAGCTCAGCAAGATTCAGGAGTGAGAAGTTCTAATCACCATGGAAGCACTACACTTTTGAAGGTCTATGAAATTATATATTCAGGTCTGAGAAGGGTAAACTTATTCGTCTGGGCAGATCTGCTGATAAACAGAGACAACTCATTTTCTCCTAGAATGCTGTGTTATATATTGTTTGAAAAAATTACCAGTTGTTAGAGAGGGGTTTAGGCTGGGAAAAAGAGGAAAAAAAAATAACCCAACAGTGCTGGGGAAGACTTTCTGTAAGGGAAAAGGAAAGGCAGCGTGAAAGCATTCCTTCATTTAGATGATTCCCTGCAAACTCAGGAGGCAGAAGACAGGCTGAGCACCTCTCAAGGCCAGACTGAGCGAGGCTGGCGACGATGGAGGCATATGGAGACCCACCCAGGGCGCAGACAGAGCGGAGGACCCCCAGACCTCGGCTTACGCAAGGTGACCTTTCCCCTCTCTAAAATTTCAAAGCTGGCGTTGCCGGCGCTGAACAGACTGTGTGCCATATGTAACATGACCTCAGCTCTGCTCTGCCAACCCACTAATGGCATCACTAATGAGGGGTGAAAGGTCCCTTTCCCGCAGCTCGCTCAGAAACCCACCAAGACAGCGGGTGCAGGATGGGCCCCCAACCCTCATCCCCTGACCCCTTATCCCCACAGGCTGCCCAGCCACAGGGCCCAGCCGCCCTCCCAGAATCACACTTGCTCCCACGCAAGGGGTTGACAGTGCCTCTTCCCTTTGCCCAATCAAAGCCGGCAGCTCTCCCGGCAATGAAAATATTCATTCAGTGCCCAAATGCAAAGCGCAGAGGCAAATTGAGCCCTGTATGTAAATTCTGCCCTGCGCCCCGCTGCCACCCCACCAGGCAGTGCCTTGTTCATCACCTGGGTATGGGACATGGATTTGGTCTGGAAGATGGCACAGAGCTGTACCCAAAAGGGGCGGCTTTGCACCCTGAATCACGCTGCAGCTGCAGGGACAAGGTGGTGAGGCCTAGGTTTGTGTGTGTGTGTGTGTATGTGTGATGGGGTTCCCTCTGTCCCCCTGGAGGCTGCCCCAGCCCTTCCTGGCCTGGACAGTGCCAGGAGCTGAGGGGGAAGCCTGGCAACCCCCTTCCAAAAAAGGCTTTCGCAACCCCCTCCTCAATTTAACTTTTTTTCCAGCTTTTAGCAAGAAAATCACTGCAGCACCTTGTGCGCACCCTTTTTCTCTCTTCCCCCCCCCCCTTTTTTTTTCCTTTTTTTTTTTTTGTTCTGTTTTTGGTGTGGTTTTTTTTTTTTTGTGGGGTTTGGGGGGGGGGGGTGGTTTGGTTGGGTTTGGGTTTTTTGGGGTTTGTTTTCCCGGTTTTCCCAGTGTCTGAGCCCTCCTGCCCCAGCATCACCTAAGGAAAGACGCCGCTCCCGTGCACCCAGCTTCCAGCCCCGGCCACGCGGGGAAAGCCCGTGTGAGGACAGGGGGTGTCCCTGCCGCGGGTGGGACGGGCGGGTGTCGCCGTGCGCGCACCCCGTGGGTGCAGAGGGGGCTGCCGTGCCCCCGGCTCCCGCCTTCTGCCCCTAAAATCACCGCGCAGGCTTCCACGAGTTTGTCCACGCGTGGGTGCGCGGTGCCGCCGCGGGCGCGGATGGCAGGCAATGTCCGTAGTTTGTTTCGCTTTAGCGAGTGGCTCACCCGTGGCCATGCGGCGCCGCTGGGTTGGAACAGCGAGAACCCACCCGCGCTGCATGGACATCCACCAGCGGCCGCGCTCCTAACGCCCCACGCAGGGCCGGAGCCGGCGGCAGACGGGGCCGTCTTCAACCCTCACTGCTTTTCTGCTGGGGTTTAATTTTTACATTGCACCCAAGCGCGGAGAAACTGAATCATTCGTTTAAACACTTAACCCCCCTTCCAGCACACCCCCGTTTTATAGGAGCGCAGCCGAAGCTGTTGCACTGGAGCATATTCCGCCGCAGAGGGGCACCCGGGGAGTGTTTTTCCCCCACGGAGGAGCCGCGCCTTGGCGGAACCTCCCTCCGGTGCTCCGGGGAGGCTGCGATCGATGCCGCTGCAGCCAGCGCCCAGCTTGAGCTGCATTAGCTTATTAAAAAAAAAAAAAATAGAAAATAAAATAAAAACGGGCAGAAATTGCAATTATCATTGTCTCGGGTTACGGCAAATGCCATTATGCTGAGAAATGGGAGGAAAACAATGCCGCGAAAATGCGAATAGGTTTGGTAATAACGCGTTGCTGCGCCGGTCCCTGCGCGCCCGCGGAAGGCTTCCTCCCCCATCCCAGGCTTGGAGCTCCCACCCACGGCGTGGGGCAAAGTTCCCTGTGTGCGGGGTGCGGAGCCGACAGGCAGCGCGGGGATTCTTGGGATGTGTGAGAGGATGGAGATGGGGGGTCCCCCTTTGTATGGGGGGTCCGCAGCTGACGGAGGGAGCTGCGCACCCCGGAGGTGTGTGGGTACCCGCGGGTAGTGTCACGGACACGGACAGGAACCCACGGGGGAGATGCAGCGTAGCCGGTGCCGGCTGGAAGGCAAGCCGGCGGGCTTCCGTGCAGAAAAGGAGTTAAACCCTGCCGTTGTCCTTTGATTTAGGAAACGGCTCATCCAATTCAGTTCCAGATTATTCAGGGGCAGACTGCCTCCCTCGCTCCCTCTCTCCCCACACCAGCCCAAACATCTTGAAGTAATCAGCAGCTGAGAACGGAGACGTCCCCCTGGCATCTCAGGTTAAAGAAGGAGGTCCAGGAAAATGTGGTAGAGCCATTACAAGAAACCTGAGATGCATTCATCAGAGACTCCAATTGCCATCGCATTAGGATTGATTAGAGACCAGCAGTACCGTAATGACCCGGAAAGCGGGGCATACGGGGATTATTAATATCAGACTTCTTGGGAAAAAAAAAAAAAAGAAAAGGAGAAAAGGAAGCAAGGAGGGAAAATTTAAAACACAAAAGCACATCGCGGGGCTGCTGCTCATATGCAGACTTACCTGAGGAGCACAGGCACTGGAGAGCCGCAGAGACGGTAATTTATCTAACTTCTGGGGAAGAAAAAGCAAACAAACGTGGGGAAACCCCTCCCTCCAGACCCCTTGAGCTCGCCCGCTCCAATGCACGGCTCGCACCGGCCCCCTCCCGGGTGGCGGGCACCGGGCGGGAGGCCGTCGGGACCTCGGCCCACTGCCGGGCTCTGCCACCGGGCCATGGGCAGCTGGTCCCTGGGCTGGCGACTGCAAGGACAAATTAAGGAGCCTCTAAGGAGAAGCAAGGAGACCTCGGTGGCTCGTCTCCTTCCCAGTTCCCTGCGCCAAAACAAATCAGCCCCTCCTGGTCTCGGTTTAAATGTAGCTCACTGGATAATTAACTCCATCTTTCCAGCTCTGCTCTAACTGTTTATTTAGTGTCACCCTGTATTACCATCACTAGCACTTTCCTCTGAACAGGAGGAGCTGGAGGGTTTCACCTCCCAAAAGGAAATTCTTCATAGCTTAAAAGAATCAGCATCCAGAGGGTACACTGGAGAGCAGGAAAAGGGGGAAGACGGGGAGGGGTGTCCCACGGCATAAGCAGGAGGAAATAAGGGGGGGGGGGACGACACAGGGACAGAAAGACTTATCTCGGAGAGAAAATAAAAATAAAAACAAACCCCCAAAACCAAAGCGTAATCACCTCTAATCCTCTGAAAAATGTCCCGGTAAGTGCGCAAAGAAAGAGCCCTTTGTGCCCTGGGGATCGCCCTCCCCGGGACCACGCCGGGAAGGCCTTAAACTTCCCCGACTGTCCTCCGGCCCATCTGGGCTCGGCCCGGCCCGGCCCGGCCGGTCCTTCCTTCGGCAGCCCCGGCCCGGTCTGGCCCTCTCGGGGTGGGACCCTAGGAATCGAGTACCCGGGGCGCAGGCACTGGGGGCCGGGGCAAGGACACGGTCCCGTTGTCCCCGTCCCCACCTTGGGTTTGTTTTTACAGGTGCCTGGAGGGCAATTTACTCTCGAGTCATTAAAGGTCGCACACCGGTTTGCAGGCGCGTAGGGCCAAAGGCTCCTGTGAGAGAAGAGCGGTGCATATGGAGAGGGGTTTGTCCTTCCTCATTAAAAAATAGAATAATAAAGGAGGAGGGGGGGGGGGGAGCAGAAGGAGAGAAAGAAAACACAAATCCTTTATTGTTCGGGAGAAGCCGGGGCGCTGGCTGTCTCCCCCGCGCATTCGGTGGGGAAGGCGGCGCGGATCCGGTATCACGTTGCAGATCCTCACTCCAGATAACGAAATGCGATCTATTTTTCAGAACAGCAAGTGGATGGGAAAGGAGCCCTCTACAACACAAACCTCATTGACTTAATGGGCCGGTTTTGGATTTCGCCTTCGAAAGGTTCGGAAAGCGACAGCGTTGTGTTACTGCCCCGCCGGCTCCAGCCCCCGTTATCATCCCCGTGAGACGGGGCTCCGGAAAATAAAAATGTCGCTGATTTGATTTTGTTGCGCTGTTTGTTTCCTCCAGACCCTCACACTTAGAGAAAAAAAAAATATATTTTTGGTTGAGGAAGAGCTTTATTTCTAAGGCCTGAGGTGGGGGGGGGGGGGGGGGGTATGGGAGTCGTGTTCGGGTTATTTTTTCTGCTTTGTTTTACATTTCTGGCTAAATCAAGGAAAACTCGCTGAGCGCTGCACGGGACCCGTCCTCATCCCCGCTCCGCGCTCTGTAACACTGCATCGAATAAATAAGCGAATAAATGAAATTTCCCGCACAAACCGAGCCGATGGGTGCCCCTGAAAGCGAGGCAACGGGAGGGGGGCCCCGTGGCCAGCCGCCTCCTCTCCGCGGACACGGAGGTGCCAGGCCCCAGCTCCTTCGGGGGAAACCAGTCGGCGGTGCAAAGACACCGGTGTCGGGGGACGGTGGTGATCCCGTCGGACTGCTCCTTATTCCCTCCCTTCCTCGAAAACAACGAGCGAGGGGCCGCGGCGGCTCCGCGCCGATGGGGTGTTGCTGTTATTTCTGTATTTGCATTCGCTTATTTAGTATTTCTTTTTATTTCTGTCTTCGGAGTGGCTCGAAACTATTTTCTTACTGGGTGATTTTCAATGGCTAAATGGGATGGGTGCTTTGGGAATTCATGTACCTCTTTCCGTGCTTTTTAGTGAAAGGTTTCAAATTTATCTTCTCTTGATGAAAAACAACCCCTCCGCAATAATTAACATTGATGCTGACCGGGTCCCGCCTGCTGTGTGTGACTCCCAGGTAGATCCCGGCGAGTCTGTCCGCTCCTTGTGTCAATTTTTGGTGATACGGAAAAATAAAGTCTCACTCAGAAATCGCGGGGAAGCTCAGCCCTCGCCCATTCCTGTCCGCTCCACTGCTGGACGCACCGGGATAATTTGCTTAGTCCAAGAGCGGTGTTTGGTTTGGTCGGCCTTTTTTTGGGGGGGGGGAGGGGGGGGAAATAAAAAATAAAGAGTGGAAATGTGAGAGCAAGAGAAACCAGCTCTCAGTAAATGACAAGGAGCTTCCACAGCCCCGATCTGCATTTCTCTCCTCATCGTCCTGACGGTATAAACGCTCAGGTCCGTGCTTTTCGCTGAGCGCCTTATTAGAAATAGATGATATAATAATTACAAATTAATGCGAACAAAAAGGACGACTGGGGAGCCCATCTCTCTGACTGAGTAGGGCGCTGCTCCTCCAGGACGGGGACTGCGAGCCCAGGCGTTATAATTCTGCGCACTTGCTCCAGACTTTAGGGTATTAGTTGATTCTAGAGCCGGGTTTAAGGCTCCGTTCCGGTCCCCACACAGCTGCCTTGTCAATAAGGATCTGTTCCAAGCAGACATTCCTTCTGGGAGGACATTGCAGCTCTTTAAGACTTCATCTGCAACATCATAAGTACTAAAATAAAACGGTAAGGGAAAATTACCAGACACACGGATATGGGATATAGAAGCGCCCTGACTCCAGCGAGCATAGTAAAGTCACTGGACAGACTGGGTGGCAGAGGCTTATTTTAAACAGTCCCGCTCCACGAAGTACGTGCGAAAAAAAAAAAAACAATAATCCGGATTTTGAAAAATATCGCGACCGGCCTTTCCCGTATAGTACCGCTGGCAGAGGCTGCTGGCAGGGAGAGGGCAGCAAGAGCCCTTCTCCGCCTCTGCCACGGATAGACTGTAGTTAAGATTTAGCATTTAAAGTCAAATAAATCCGCATGTCTTTAGCGAAGACAAACAGGTTTTAAAGAGCCCCACGATGGTTATTAGAGCTCCCGCAGCAAACTCATTCTCGAATCAAAAACGTTCTGGAGCTTGCTTGAAATACGGGTTTCGTCTTATCTAATCAAAGATAAATCCAGCCATAAAGACACCCCGTTCGCACCGCTCCCTTGCTCTTATCTACCCTCATTGTCCTCAATTCCCAGCCCATCCCTGCTACTGACAATGGATTATCTTTGTTTAGGGAGCCTAATTGTTTTCTAATTTTTTTTATATAATTGCTTTTGAGCAAGGTGTGCAAATGAGGATTAGGCTAATTAAAGCGCCGCCGGCCCGTGCAGCTCTGCTGCCTGGGATGCTTCCGGGAGGGGAGACTCCGCGGGCCCCCCCCGAGTTCCCCCAGGGCCGAGCGGAGCCAGAAGGGCCGCCCGGGCGGCGGAGGGGGCGCAGGGGCCCCGCGCATCACCCAGCTTCTTACTAAAGCATCATTTATTCAACCCAGCATTATGGTAATTAAATACGGGACGGCTTGGAAGGGGACGGGAGCGGGCTGGGGAGAGCAGGAGTTGGGGGTGGGGGGTGGATAAAGAAAAGTTGGGGAAAAAAGCGCAAAATCCGCCGGCAGCGGCTTCCCCGAGGTGCGCCCGGGGGCGCGGGCAGCCGGACTCCCCCCGCTCCGCCTACAGGGCCGGGGCCGGGGCCGCACCCGCGCAGCCGCGGCTGCCGGGGCCGGGTTCCCGCCGCCAGGCCCCGCCCGCCCGTGCCGAGGCTCTGCCCGCCGGGCCGGGTCGGGCTAGGCTTGGGGGGGGGCCGGGCTGGGCTGGGCCGGGCCGGGTCGGGCCAGGCCCGCCACGGCGGGGGCCGAGCCGCGGGCGCCCAATCAGCGCGGCGCGGGGGCTCGGGCGCTTTAAGCGCGGCTGCGGCGGAGCCGGGACAAAGTCCCCCCGGCGCCGCGACGAGCATCCCCGCTCGCCCGCCAGACCTGGCTGTCGCCTTGCCTCCCAGCTCTGGGGACGCGACCAGGACAGGGACCGGGTCCGGCGGGCGGCTTCCCCCCGCCCCTCCGCAGCCGAGCTCCCGCGGGGTGCCTGCAGCCACCTCCTCCTTCTCCTGCCGCCGCCGTGACCGGCCATGTCGATGCTGCCGTCGTTTGGCTTCACGCAGGAGCAGGTCGCCTGCGTCTGCGAGGTGCTGCAGCAAGGGGGGAACCTGGAGAGACTGGGCCGGTTCCTCTGGTCGCTGCCGGCCTGCGACCACCTGCACAAGAACGAGAGCGTCCTGAAGGCCAAGGCGGTGGTGGCCTTTCACCGCGGCAACTTCCGCGAGCTCTACAAGATCCTGGAGAGCCACCAGTTCTCGCCACACAACCACCCCAAGCTCCAGCAGCTCTGGCTGAAGGCTCACTACGTGGAAGCCGAGAAACTGCGGGGCAGACCCTTGGGCGCCGTCGGCAAATACCGCGTCCGCCGAAAATTCCCTTTGCCCCGCACCATCTGGGACGGCGAGGAAACCAGCTACTGCTTCAAGGAGAAATCCCGGGGCGTGCTGCGGGAATGGTACGCCCACAACCCCTACCCGTCCCCCCGGGAGAAGCGGGAGTTGGCAGAAGCCACTGGTCTCACCACCACCCAGGTCAGCAACTGGTTCAAGAACCGGAGGCAGCGGGACCGAGCGGCGGAGGCAAAGGAAAGGTACGTGTCACCCCCACCCCCCGCATCCCCTCCCTCCCCCCCTTTTCTCCCCGCTCCCCCGAACAAAAATAATTCACTCCCCCAAATCCATTTCTACCCCCCCCCCCAAGCGCCCTGCGTTTTGCCCTTTCGCGGAAACCCAAGTGGATTTTCCACCCGAGATCCACCGGACCGAGTTTCCCACCTGCCCGGAGCAGCAAGTCCCTCACCGGCCTCTCCAGGCCGCTCCGCCGTCTTTGTTTGCTTGCCTGCCGCCCTTAGTAAACCGGGAATGATGCAGTCCCGGAGCCTCCGAGGAAGCGGTCGGGTATTGCTGGGAATCGGGCACGGTAACTCCGAAGCCCGGAGGAGGAGAAAGAAGTCCCAGGATGGAGAGGAAAGGAACCGGAGGGTGACCGGGATGGGTACACGCTGGCCGGGCCGAGTCGCCTCTCCGTATCGAGACCACCGCTGGCACCCCCGGCGGCGCCGCCCGGGGTGGCCTCCTTGCGAAGCGGCGGCTCGGCCCGGCGAAGCTGACAACCACGGAGGGCAGCGCCCCGCTTTTTGTCTCCTCCAGCAACCTCCACGCCGAGCCTCGTAGAAAAAAAATCCCTCACCCTGCTCGTCCCCGGGCCGCGCTTTCATTTTGAGTTAAAAAGAGAAAGAATTCCGCCCCCCCCCCTCCGGGCAACTTTTCCTCCTCACTCAAATTACCGAGCTGTGCGGTGCACACCTATTTCTAGGAGGGTAAAAAGAAATTGAGGTGGTCCTTTATATTAGGCTCTTTTACATTTTTGTTTTCTTTACGGAGAGAGGCATCTGCTGTCACGATGAAATAGAACGCAAAGGATTTTCTGGGGGCATGAGCCCAGAGCCCATACCCGGCGCCTCTCGCCTGCCATAACGTCCCATTTGTGGGGTTTTTTTTTTGCCTTTCTGCAGGGAGAACACGGAAAACAACAACGCGGCCACCAACAAGCCGAACCAACTCTCGCCTCTGGATGGGAGCAAACCCCTCATGTCCAGCTCCGAGGAAGAGTTTTCTCCTCCCCAAAGCCCGGATCAGAACTCGGTCCTGCTCTTGCAGGGGAACCTCAGCCACGCCAGGAGCTCCGGCTACTCCCTGGGCGGCTTGGCCGCATCCCAGACCCCTCACAGCCTCCAAGGCCACCAGCTCCAGGACTCGCTGCTGGGACCCCTCACGTCCAGCCTGGTGGATCTGGGATCCTAAAGGCCCGCGGCGGGCTGGCAGAGGGTCGGGAGTGGCGGTTCCGCTCGGGGACAGAGGTTCTGGGTTGTACATAGGAGGACAGCACCCGGGTTTACAGCTCACCCGCTGCTTCTTGACGGGACTCTCGGCTCTTTTCACACAACCCCACGTCGGCTCCTGGTCCGGTTCCCTCCCAGTGTCTCCCACAATCATCACCATGATTGGGTTTTTTTATTTTATTTTTTTTTTTCCGTGTAGCCAACGGAGGGAGCGGCTGAAACCCTCAGCCCTTCGAGTTCAGCCCAGCTGGTCCCAACGGGAATTACAAAAAAAGAGGGGGGGGGGGGGAGAGGAAAAAACAAACTCAACCCCAGCTGGATCCGATTCCACCCAAACAAATCCCAGCCCTGCGGGGGCGGAGGGGCCAGGGCGGCCGCCGCATCCCCGCTGCTGCCCGGCGTGTCCCTGCGAGGCGGGTGCTGAGCTGGGCCGGGGACAGAGGGAGAGACTCGTTGCGCTGAGCCCGGCGTTGTGGCGGGAGGATGGAGGGGAGTTACGTTTACATTTTTCATATTTAGCCTTACCGGAAAGATTTCTATGTAGTTTAAATTAAAAAAAAAAAAAAAAAAGACAAAAGCTGCAGTATTAGAGTTTTACCAAGTGCCTATGTCTTAACGCGGCCGGGCGAGGCAGGCAGCGAGCGAGCTCCCGTCACCCCCGGCTTCCTTCTAATCCGTGGTGAAATGCATCGATGTGGCAAAAATTAGGGTATTAATAAGAACTGGCGGCTGCTTCCCCCCTGACGGGTGCTTCTCGGGCCACCCCAGCAGGTCCCCGTTGCCCGCTCCCCCCGGCCCCGTTCTCTGCTTTCCCCTCCGGCTTGCAGAGAGCCCGCGGATGACGAGTATTTGTTACCAAAAATCGCATGTGCTTTCAGGTTTATTTTCTATTGTACCTAAACAGTTTAAATTAAACAACGCTGATGGCAGAACACCCAGGCTGCGCTTTTCTTTGCGGGGCGAGCCCCTGTCCCTCTGCCTACCCTTACCCCCCACTTCGGCCGGCGCTTCTGGGCTGAGGGGGCAACCGGTGCCTTCCTAACCGAGGGGGGATGGGGCACCCGCAGAGCCGCTTGCTGGGGGTTGCACGGCCGGGAGGGAGCTGCTCCTTCCCGTCGCCCGCCCCATCGGGGCCTCGGTGCGGCCGGGCAGCTGGTGCCGGTCCCCCCCCTGCGTTTTGCATCATTAAGTGCGTGTTTATTTAAGTCGTTCCCGTGTTTGTTCTCGGGGTCTTGGGCCACGGAGAAATGTCACCCTCTGCAGGAGGGTCCTGCCAGGCCGGAGTGCTCCGCGTCCCTCCCGCTCAGGCCCGGGCGCACGGACACGCTCCAGGGCCCTCCGCGGATCCCCCTCCCCGGCTCCTGGACGGGGCTGCGGATCCGTTTCCTCCACCCTCCTCCTCGGCTCCGGCTGCCCCCTCCGGCCTGGCCCCGGCTGCCCCATCGGGTTGCCCAGCTCCTGCAGGGTTTACTGCGCCCACGATCCTTTCTGGGGGGGGGGGGGGGGGGGGGCACGGCTGGGACGGTGGGGGACCCCCAGCCCTTCTGGGCAGGATCCAACGTGGCTCTGTGGGATCAGGGCGGAGGGCGCAAGTCCCGCGCTTGGGCGCACAAGCCACGCTGGTGGATGCCCATCTGCGTGTCTGTGTCCATTAGCGACCGCGGGTGGAGCCGGGACAAATCCCGACGTTCTGGAGTAGGAGCACGGAGCCCACACCAACCCCGGCAACCCCGACCTGGAGGCCGCCTGGGGCGGACTCCGCTGCACGCCCTGCAGGGACCCCAGGGACGGCACGGTCCGTGGCCCTGGCCCTGCGAGGACCCTCGTCGCCTTTAGTGGGGGCCTCAACCAGCCCCTCCGTGATCTGCCACGAAGCCGCGCAGCCGCTCCCAGCCCCTAGGGCATAGAGGGGCACCTACCCAGGGAACAGAGGGAAGGTTTTTAAGGGGAGCAGCTGCTGGCCCTGGGTTCTGAGGATGGATAAGCTTTAGCTCTGTTTTTTGGTGTGGTTTTTTTTTGAATGTTTTTTTGTTTGTTCTGAGTTTTTTGGTTTTGTTTTGGTTTTTATTTGTTTCCCCAAGTCACTCGGTGAAGAGGAGGGATAAATACTGCCCGGGGTTCCAGCCCTGAGCAGCGAGGAAGCCAAGCAGGGACTTGCAAATCAGGGTTATTTCCAAAGCAAAGAGCACAGACGCGCTTTCTGCGCACAGGCAACGGCAGGGCTGACTTTTGGAGTGGGAAGCTGCCCTTGCCCAAACCCTCCCCGTACTCATCACAGAACTGCGGGTCGGGACTGCTGCCAGGCCCGACGGCTGCAGAGCAGGACCGCTCAGTACAGCCCTTTCCATACCCCGACCCTCTATTTACTTCACAGGGAGAAGGATGAGGTTGCCAACAGGCGGATGGTGGCAAGGAGGAATGGAGTGTGCCGAGGGCCACCCCCTCGAAATGACCCTCCTGCAGGGGAAAGGGCCGGGGCAGGCAGGTGGGAGCAGGGAGGCCCTGGAGCTGAGCCAGGCGCAGGTTGCTGAGCTCTCCTCTATTAGGCTTGACCTCGCAGCAAGCTTTTCACAGCAAAGCCAGCCTGGGGATGCAGCCAGGGGCTGTTTCTCACCCAGCTCTGCTTTGTATTTCCACTGGCAGGAAGGAGTTAATCTCCCCCCCCCCGCTCCTGTTCACCCCCCAGGACAGATTTCACACTGTGTCCAGGTCAGCCAAAAAAGTGGAGGAAATGGAGAACAGCGGAATGATTAATTCTACCTGCTTTTCCCATGAGTGATCACCTGCTTTTGGGGTCATGAATAGCAGGTAGCTCTCTCCATCTCCAGTTCTGAGAGGCTCATTTGTTTGGTGACAGCTGAGTGACAAGACCTGAAATCCGAGCTCTCAACTTTGCCTGATGTGTGGATAAAACCCTGGATGTTCCCTCAAACATTTCAGGAAATGAAAGTTGTAATGCGATCCCTTGTGCGCCCACATCTCCCCCAGCAACACACAAAAGCTCAAAGGAACCTTCTCAGATTAAATTCAGCCTGGAGAGGATGGAAGGAAAATGGAGAGCAGGCTGAGAAAGCTGGAACTGGCAGGCTTTTCTTCAGCACTTATTGGAAATGTCTGTCCAAAGCAGGGATTTAGAAAGGTCACCTCTACCACAACAGCCTCTTCCTCCTGCAGAGGCAGACGGGCAGCATGCTTCTCTCAGCCTCCCTCCATGCTGGGGGCAGCCTGGAGTGGGGGTTATGCTTAGATTCCCCAACCAGGAAATGCAGTGTATAAAACCAAACACCCAGAGAGAAAGCCAGGCCCTCTTCCCCCCCCCCCCCCCCATTTTATTTCCCTGGTCACGCTGAGCCAGCGTCATGCCATGCATGGTCCGCACGCCTACTCAGCCCCTGCCCAGCTCCCCTTCCCTGCTGCCTCCCCAGCCCCGCAGAGGGGCAAGAATGGTCCTGATTTCAGCCCCCACCATCCTGGCCCACGTGCTAGCAAATCCTCCACGGAGGCCTGCAGTGAGGAGCCGATGCTTGCTCAGCCGATGGATTTAAACACAGCATTTTCAGGCCTGGCTCCCTAAAGCCTGTGCATCCCCAGCTGCAATGGCAGGAGCCTGGAGCTGCGATGTGGTTAGGGGACCTTTGTGCTCTGTGTCTTTGCAATTCGGGCCTGCTCAGCCGGACGTTGGGGCTTCATTTTGAGCACACAGGTTTGGAAATGTCAGCAGCTGGAATGAGGCAGGGTGTGAGATACAGGCAGGACTGGGCCAAGGCTTCCAGACTCCCTCCTGGGTGGATGGTTTTATCGAGCTGCCTGTCACTAGGCAGCCAGCAGCTGCTTGTGCTGTTATCCAGCTTGAAGATAAAGTGCTATTTAACAATTGTTTAACTGTTACTGAAGTGCTTCGGACTCTGCAGATCTGTAAAGAAAACAGCATATGCCTGAGATAACTCTTCACCTCTGAGCTTCCTGGTTACTCCTACTTTTCTCTGGAGAGCAGATCACAGACACTACACAGGCACAGATGGAAAACTTCCCTGTCTGCCCAGCCAGTATGCTTCTTTGTTGGTGGTTTTGCATCTGAGGAAGTACCCACTGTAGGGTGATGCTGCTGGAGGCCGTTGCTTGCGTACGCCGCCTTCAGAGGGAGGTGCTTTAACCTGTCCGACACGCGTGGATGCCATTAGCAGCAGCAGGAGCAATAAAGGTACAGCCAAAGCAGTACTTGGCCAGCCTGGCTGCATCAATCCATCTTCAAAGGTGGATTTTGCTATTCCTGCTGGGGCTGAAGCTCCAGGTTTTCTGGGGGCACCGGCTGCTCTGTGGGAAGAGCAGAGATGTCAGAGACTGGGTCTACAGGAGCTTTGGTTCTTTTCAAGTGTACAAAGCAACCTAAGACACCGTCATCTTTCTCAACTGGACCTGGACACAATTCTAATTATGGAAATTTGCTTTAATTTTCAGATGGAGAGAGCAAATTACCAGGCTCCCCAGAGATTATCACCTTTTACCCCAACAGCAGTCAGAAGCTGTCTGGAAAGAGGGCACCAAGCTGAACCCCATCCCCTGCCACCCTGTCTTTCTTTTCAGCTGGATTTATCACTCATGGTTTCTAGCATTTGCTCCCACCTCTCCAGATTTTAAACAGAGGCTGAACTTTTTCTCAAGTATATAATCTCAATCCCAATAATCAGGTTAAAGAGACAGATTTGGTTCAATTACATTTTCCTGTTTTCACTTGTCCAGTGCTTTTGGAAAATGCCTCCATGGGCAGAGCAGCAGCTTCCTATCCCTGCCTCTCTATGGGCAGGGAAGCTTCTCTTCCATAGCCTAGTTCTGCAAGGATCAGGGTTGTTTTGCTACAGTCTCAAACCTGCTCAGACTCTGGTGGCTTTCAGCAGTGATAGAAAAGGTGTAGAAGATCCTCACATCTGTTTCTTAGGATGGAAGAAAAGGGAAAAACTCATCTTTTCTTTTTTTTTTTTTTTCTGATTTGAGGATGGAAAAGCTTTTCAGCTAATAGCTGAAGTGTTTTACATGAGGGGAAACTGAGACCCAGGAAGATGACAGGCCTGCTGAAGGTCAGAGTAAAGGCAGATGATGAAGCAGGGGGGGTGGCTGCTCTGCATTGGTGGCTGGTGCTCCACGTGCCCAGGGCTGCCTCCCTTTATAGTCCCCATAATAAGTCAAT